GTAACCTCTAATAATGCTAGGGAAGGCCTGGAGCATGGAGGAGAAACTTTTGTCAGTGATTAGGTGAAAATGCCCAGGAGGGCAAATGTGATGTCTCTTCTGGACGAATGCGAGGGAGTGTTGCCAAGCGCAGGCACTGCACCCAGCAGTCTCATGCAAAAGTTTTCCCTGAACAGTCTGCCCGGCCTTACTGGTCACACAGGCATAAAGGTGCTCTGGAGGGCTGCTGGCATCCAGAGACAAAACCAGTAAGTGAGCACAGCTGGGAGTTATCCCCTGCTAGCCACTTTTCACTGACCTCCCACAAGTTCACTGTTCCCCTTGCAAACTAGTCCCATTCTGTGAATGGGAGCCCTCTTGTCTTCTTGTCACTTCTCTCTGCCAGGTAATGTAGAGCTTTGTCATACTTACCACACCACTGGGTCTTTTGCTGGGTCTTTTGCAGGAGCAGTTACCCAGGTTCCCCACTTCACAAACGTCTACCAGGTCTGAAGAAAAACCTGAGAGAGAAAAAAGTTTCCAGGTGCTTGTTTTCAAAGGAAGCAGAGAACCTAAACAGCAATGACCATGGCATGTTTGAGAAGGGACCTGTTGGGCTACGTGTCAAGGAGCTTGTCTGCACACTTGTGAAGGAGAAAAGAGAGGCAATGGCAAGTGGAACAGTGCAAATAACACCCCACACTGGCTGTTGCCCAGTGCAGGATGGAAAGATATGAGCCCACAAGCCCAGAGAAGCACAGGGTTCCAAGGACCGATGGGGAGCTCAAACTAAGGACTCAGAGGAAGGTATGCCTTGCCCAGGCACCTCCCAGGGATGTCCCAGGAGGTTCTCAATTCCAGGGTCCATGTGCAAGGCCTTTTCAGAGTCATCAGAGAAGCACCTTTTGAACTGAGGGGGGTCACTGCCTACAAGGGATATGGACATGACGGGTTGCAAAAGAACATTTTGGCATTACACGGGACTTATTTTGGGATGCTTAGGGGAGGAGCCAATGGGGAGAAATGGAGGAATAAAGGGGATTTGGGGATGGAAAACCTGCAAAAATGGAAGGATAAAGGGATAAAAGAGTCTGGTCACATGTATGTAGGCTGGCCAACATGCTCATCTGCCCATGCCCTGCATCCAGTCACCACAGTCTGTCCTTTTTTCCCATTAAACTCCATTTCTAACTCTTTTCCTGTGTGAGGGACTCCCTAGCTGGCGTACATGTGCGTATGGGGGTCTGATGGTTGAGCGTGCCTGGGTGCCAGTGACTGAAGATACCCTAAGTGAAAGAAACCAGGTGCCAGCCACCATCCTAGTGCAACAGCGGGAGGGAGCATGGGTGAGCAGGTGATGACCATCAAGGAACAAGCCAAACAGGCTGGTGAGTAGGTGAGGTGTCCCAGGACACCCCTTGATGTTTCACATGTAATAAGGCAGGATGATCTGTGCCCGTGGAACTGTAACGAGATCTGTATTTTGAAAAAAATAGTTAAGTTTTTAAGGGCTCGAGCTGGAGAGCTTCCCGTCCAGCTCTCTGTACACGAGCTGTGTTAGAAATGTCCTTCTGATGCATTTGCAAACGCTCTTCTAGCAGCCTGCGTCCCGCTGCAGCCTCAGCGCAGAGCACTTTCTTTTGTAACAGCAGAGTTCCCTCTAGTGGAAGAGATCACGAGCCAAAGTGAAATTGCCTCCAGTGAGTCTTGCATCAAAATAGTGACTCCGGAGTGCTGTTTTGTTTTTCTCTTTGGACGTTCAAGTAGTCTTTTAGAAGCTAGCAAGCCTATCCCAGGTATCAACAAATTAGAATCACTGTATCCAAAGACATTCAGACAAAATGACTTTATGAGGGTTGTCCTGTGGCAGACACTGACTGTTGTCACTGGAAGAGAAGGTGTTGAACAGACTGACAGAAGGAACTGGTCATTTGGTTTCAGTCCTGCTTTACTCTCCTGGAGAAAGAGGTCTTGTAAAGGAGCAGAGAATGAAATGTGGAAATGTTCCCAAGTCTGTTCTCCAAGTTGCCACGCTGGCCTGCAATGGATAAAAGAAGGTGTGCTAGGTGAGGAGTGGGAACAGCGGGTGTTTGGTAGTACCTGGGAAGGTAGGCTGCCCAAATTCCTCTGACAAGTTCTGCTTAGGGTTGCCTCCTGAGAGAGCTGGATTTTATGCAGCTGAGCTTCTTGGTCAATGGACCTTTAGAAAATAATCTCAGGCTGCTTGGCAAGGGACATGTAAAAATCAATCTCTAGTGATGTTGTAATCAAGAGTTCCTCAGCATTCTGAAAATCATGTGCTGATTCAGCTTGCCCTGAAATTTCTCATGCCACGTGCGTGTAGGTTACAGTGAGGAGCTTCAACTTGCCATTCCTCAAATGAGAGTTTTCTGAGATTAAATGGTCTCTTTTTTAGCCCAGAGAAATGATCTGTGTTTTTTCCATAGTAGTCATGGGAACATACATATACGATCTTCAGTTGTGGTTATGATTAGAAGCCATCAATATATGTGCATAAACACAACAAAAAAAAGAAGAGGTGAGTCAGTTTAACTCCTGCTTTTCAAAGATAACTTTTTCTCAAGAAATTGAAAATGTAAACAGAAATTTCCAGACTCAGTGCTGTGAGACAGTGACCAGTGGTACTCCAGCTGTGTGGTTCAGAGACTCCTGAAGGAGGGGGAGAGGAATGGCCTCACCTCCATACTTCTGGAAGTGAGTATATGATTTATCCTTGGCGTAAAAGTGTAGTTTTTCTAAGAGTTAAAATTTAGCTTTGGCGATTGAGAAGAAAAAATTAAAATATGATGAAATGCACATGAACAGTAATCAGCACAAAAAAACCAACAGGTTTCACTGGGAAATGAGAGAAGAGAATGCGAGCTTAATCATGAGTGTCTTGGGCGTACCAAAGGGGCATGGCTGCATGACGCCCGACAGTCCTCACTCCTGTTAAGTCCATCTGACACAAAACCTCCTTTTATAGTGAAATTTAAATTCAGGTTTATTCCATTTCGTAGACCTATTCTACAGGTGGAAAGCAAAGCAAAATGTACAATGTCTCTAGATCTTTCTTGCCACATACAGGGGTCTCATAGTTTTCTGTGGTTTTTATTCCTGCCCATACAGTTGGACTCAATAATCTTAAAGGTCTTTTCCAACCTAAGCCAGGTTGCCCAGGTGAATGGTGGAGTTGCCATCCCTGGAGGTGTTCAAAAAACATATAGACGTGGCACTTCAGGATATAGTTTAATAGTTGTGGTAGTACTGATCTGATGGTTGGACTTGATGATCTTAGACACCTTTCCAAACTTTAATGATCCTGTTATTCTTGTTTCATTGTTTACTGTCTCAAATGGTTCATTAGTTCAGAAATCAAGGAAAGAACCAAGAAACATATTAACAGCAGAGTGTACGTACCAAGAACGCAGAGGAAGGAATAAAGAACAGACCTCATTCTTGACAGAAGGAATTTCAGATTGCCTCTTCCACCAGCAATCAGGGTGTACTGTGGGTGAATAAATAGGAGCGGAACAAGGAAGATCTCTCTGGATTCTAGGAAAATAGGCTTCTATTTACTTTCTTTCTCACTAACTTCAAAGGCTTTGTCATGCCAGAGAGTCAGTGTCAGCTCGGCCACCACCAGCTCCGGAGAAGGTGATGTACAAAGAACTGGGCCACTACATGGACATCTTTGTCAAACTTAGCAGAGATTGCTCAGCTGAGTCAGGTCCTTGTTAAAAGAAACAGTTGACATAAGGAACACTGTTGACCGAATGAGGCAGAAAGGGATTTTTGGGTCTTGTTCTTCTATGAACATAAAAAGAACTTGAATTTTCTGCCATTGCTGGTCTGCCTAGTATACTTTCCACTTGCCTCTGTCAGCCCTAAGGTTACCTCTGGTCTTCATCTACTGCTTCAGAACTATCCTTTCCTTGCTCAGCTCTAGTTTCCTTCTTTTATTCCAAAGCAGCAACTCTCTTGCTCTCCAGACCCTTTCACCATTTTCTTCTTTCTTCTCTAACTTTCTCTAGTTCATTGAAGGAGCAGTAAAATTTAGATAAGTATAAAACTTTTTCACTTCAGTAGACGTGAGTTACAGGGTGAGCTGACATGAAATATCTCTCAAGTCCCTGAAAGGTCCCTTTTGTTTTCATTAAATAAGGGCAGAAAAATATTCCTGGGACTTCCTGGCTTTTGTTGCTTTGATTGCACAGGGCTCTTCTAGATAAATTTATTTTAAGCTGTGTAGTCCATAATTCTCTCAGTAGTTCTCTCACAGTAGTTCCCTCTGAAATCCCCTCAACTACAGTGAAGGCAGGTGAACACAGGAGACCTGTTGATGCACATTTCTCATAAAAAGAAAAACATATGTGAAGGGTGTAGGTATGTCAGCCTCAAACAACAAGTAGAATGTTAGTTGCTGGAGACCTGACCTGCTTTAGATGGAGTTCGGAGCGAAAAGTGGAAGGCTGAGAGAGGGAAACTTAAGTGACTGATCAGTCCTAGGAGACAGAAAAAATTGTTGAAAAAAATGTAGTGGCAGAGCTCAGGCTTTTGTTTCCTTGCTGACAGAGGAATGGCTCCACTAAATGAAGCACAGTGGTGGAGAAGGTCTCCAAGGACAGTTCTATCCAGCTGGAATAGCCACTGCCCTGACCCCCAGCCTCCAGCAACAGGTTAGACCTGATCTGGAGGGGGTCTTCTTTTTTGCAGGTTGAAAAGCACTGCTTTGTGCACAGAGGTACTGAGAGTAATGGAACAGGCATGGTTAACACCAGGATGAGTCTGGGATGACTCAGGGAAGGTAGAAACATCATCCCTTAGAACAGCTTAACAGAAGTGCTCCAAATATTCCCACCCGTTGTGTCTTAAATAAGAAAGGATTTGTGGTTTAAGTGGGTTCTTGGCCACTACATGGACATCTTTGTCAATTAATTTTGACAAGGTCTTGAATTTGTGCCAAGTCTGGCATTTTTCCCATGACCAATGATCTTTTAAAGCAGGAGACATTCTAGCGTCTTGCTAGAGAAATATTACAATTGGTATGAATGATATATGAACATATGTGTGTGCGAAAACAATTTCTAATGCCTTAAGGGTGGTAAATCAGTTCTTCAAAGAATGCCACTGAAAGGCAATGAAGAAATCTTCAAGCCAATTAGTAGAAAAGATATTAAGATAGTGCGTAGCTGGAGATAATAAACAGACCGTTATTTAGAAAGTTTTAATAGGCTGTTTGTCCTTGAGGGTGTTTTGAACCAGACCAAAGCAAGAGTCTCCTAGTCAAAAATTTTCGAGTTGGAGATGAGGGGGTGCAAAAATATCACGAGTTATTTGTGAAAAACTGAAAGTCAGTCAAAAGTGAAGGTGGCAGTGGGAGATCACGACCACCAACTTAATTCAGACCAAAGAAAACTTGCCCCACCACCACCTGTAAGGAACATGCATGCTAATTCACATGAGGAGCGAGGCTAATTTAAATATACTTAACCAATAATAGATGAAATAGTTATCACTAGCCAGTAATTGTAAAATTAGGCATGCTTATACTAATTAAGTTACAATATAAATATGTTGTAGCATTTCAATGTGCTATGTTAGTTTCATCTAGCATCCAAAGTTGCACAACTTTGTTAAGGAACCAATGTCAGCTTTCTAAACTATAGTTTGGTTTAGAGAAGTTTCTTGGTTACAACCTTCCGTACCAAAAGCAGGTGAGCTGAAGAAACAGCAAACAACGGACACTCAACGCCTGTAGGGATCGAAAAGGATCCTTTTCCTAACCAATCAATTTGAGAAATGGGTTGTTTCTCTCAAGCCTGGGAGGAGCCTGATAAAACTACAACAGAGACAACTAATCAGTGGAAAAATCCTACAGTCGAAGAACCACAAGATGCAGCGAGTTTTCCCTGTTATTGTTTGTGCTTCCCCTTCTCCCAGCTCCACAGGAAGGTGCCGCCGGGGCTGACGGGACGGAGGCGATGAGAGTGTTCTCTTGCCTGAGGCCTTCGGGCACTTCTATTATCTCCCTTCCAGTCACTTAATCACCCCCCTCGTGGCCTTTCCCGCTCCTTCTGGCAGCGCTTTCTAAGTCTGAGGTGAGTTTTTGGCTGGGCGTGGGACGGGAAGCGCGAGTAACCTCGGAAACGGGGCTGGACGCGGACAGAGGCCGATACCTCCCCGCCTCTTGAGGCTCATCCCCGGACAGAAGCAGCTCCCGGCTCTTCCCGATCGCTGCGACCAGCCTCCGAGTCCTTCCTCCGGCTCTTCTCAGCAGGAGGGTCCCCGAGCTGCCGGCTTCACGCAGCAGATGCTTTCCGAAGCCTGCGAGATGCCAAAAGTCGGGAGGGACGAGTAGCGCCGGGTAGTTCTTGGAGGCAGTCGGCAGAAGCAGAAAAAAAGCTTTTTAGTGTTGGAGAAGTTCCACCGGAGGAGGTCGCGGAGGATCAGTGCAGGGATGCTGTCGGTGGCTCAGGAGAGCTCTGAGGTGCGGACTGGGTGGGTATGGCACAGTAAAGGATTTGCTGTTTATTTTCCCCTATAACACGCTAGATTGGATTTCCAATCTCAAGGGACTTTTTTTTTAGGGGGAGACCAGTATAGCTACACAATAGCCTGGTTCCTCATTGTATGAAATCTTGCAGCTACACCAGCTGTGAGCAACGGTGTGTTAAGGACTTTCATGGGTATTAAAGCAGAGGCAGATGGCTGTTATTGAAATCTATGCTTTCCTGGAGCTGTGACACATCTTTCACTGGTTTATAAATGCTTCCTTAACTTGAATTTTCTCTCTCAGTTGCTGTGCTGGTCCTTGATTTTTCCATGTTTTTAGGGATCTATCTATTTCCTAGAGCCATGCTCAAGTATCTGGCTACGCTGTATTATCTGGCAGTTTCATTATTTGTTGGGTGGTGAATTTATGCCTTTTTAACTTCCATTGTGCAATTTTTTTCCCACCTTGATAGTAGCACTTTCTATGTTGTGTAAGGAGACATGTTAAAACTCTCTTTCTGCCCCTAGAACTATGTATTTCTCACATGGCAAAGCTACCATTAATCCACTGATGTTTGTACCCTGCAGACATGATATTATTGGAAGACGATCTGTCATTGAATCAGCCGTCTCTCCTTATCTTTCTTCAGGTGAAGCTGACTTTCCCTTCCAAAATGACTTTCCAAGCTCTGGTTTTGTGTCTGGCATATGCTGGCCTTGGAAAGGCACATGGTAAGTTGAATTTCCTGAAATCTGCCTGAAAGTGGTTGGTGAAATGTTTCTGATTCTGAGGCTTTGACAGTCAGAGTAAGGCACAAATAGGTACAATGCAGATTGCTGTTGCCATTTGATATACATTAGATAGGTGAGGCATGAAGCTGGCATGTGTGTCACAAAACCTCCTGGAGCAGCGTTTGGAGATGTGAGGGACATACAGCGTCCTGAGTTCACAAATTCCCATAGTGGATCCTCCCCTTGGGATCAAGTCTCCCTTTTTATTTCCCTCCCTCTCAAATGCATAGTCCAAAAATTCTCTTTGGAACATTTTGCTGCTCAGTTATCGGAGAATGTCCTGGTGTTCACTCGTGTATACTTCCCTTGTGCATTCCACCTTCCTCTGACTTTTAGGAAACAAAAAATGAGTCTTTGTTGAGAAGAGGAAGCCAGAATCTGATTTAATAAAACCGAAGTGGGAAGCCTGCAGAGATGGGGGAAGTTGTAATTGATAGAATTGTTCTGTCTGTGAGTAATCCAGGCCTTAGAAATAGCATTAGGCTTCTGAATATGTGGGGTATCTGCCCATTTCACTAACTATTTCATGTCATTGCAGTAGTTCCACAAGATGAACACAGAAACGTGAAGTTGGGTAACAACGTGACTCTCAGCTGTGCCCTGACAGAACCCAAGGAAGTTGTACAAGTGACGTGGCAAAAAGAATCTGAAAAATCACCCAATAATATAGCTACGTACAGTGACATAAAAGGATTAAATATTCATGAACCCTATAAAGACCGAATGAATTTCACAAGTCTGGTACTCAATGAGACAAGCATCACTTTTTGGGACACTAGAATAGATGATTCAGGGTGTTACAGGTGCCTCTTCAATATTTTCCCTCAAGGCTCCTTGTTGGGACGTACCTGCCTCAGTGTCTTTGGTGAGGACCTCTACAAGAATACGTTTTTGGTGGAAAAAAGGCATTTTCTCACCCACAGCATTTTCTTTGAGTGGACTCAGGGACTACAGTCGTAGAAGCATCCTTGGTGGAACATAGTATAGAAACAGAGTGTTACTGCTGTGAGCAAAACTCTGTGGGGTCATATTCAAGCCTATTGTGGTGGTTTTGGCTCTGGGCAGTCCTTATTTGTTATTCTGTGAGTGACAACTAAAGAGCAAGGAGTGAGATCTTTGTTCATAAGCCTCTGAGCAGCTGCGACTTGGGCAAACCAGAGTGGCCTGTTGCAGTTTCCTCTTGGTGCCAAGTAGAACCTCACTGCTGTGAGCTGCTGTGCTGAACCCTACCATTGATAGGGAGTTAACAGAGAGGAGGACAGCATGGCCCAATAAATGGTTTTACTTCAGCAGATTACTTTAAAATGTGGGATTTCAGATGGAGTGAAACCTTTGGGGCCTATAACTTCAGTTTGAGAGAAGGGTTATTGAATTGTGGGGTGGGTCTGACTCAATGAACTCTTCTGGCATCCCTATACTATGGGGCTCAGTGTGAACCCAGTAAGCTTTGATTTGATTGATAATGCTTAACCTGCTATTACTGCTTATGACCAGGTGCTCGTTGTGGTAATGGATTGTCTCATTTGTGTGTTGGAAGGTCTCAATGCATCTGTCCATTACAAGATTTCTGAAGGTCGTTTGACAGCCATCTGTAATGCTGTTGGCATGCCAGAGCCCACCATCACCTGGAACAACTTGTTCAATTCTACTCCTACACAGGAGACGGTCAGGCACACCAGTGGGATTGTGTCCGTCACCAGTAAACTGGAGATCTTCAACAATCAGAGCATCAATGTGCAGGACTTGACCTGCAGAGTAAGCAACACAGAAGAAAAAATTGAATTGCCAGTAAAAATGAAAGGAGGTAGGTTAATGATAGAAGCTACTTGGTAGCTTTCTTTTGTCCTTTGTGTTTTGCAATAGCGTGTTTGGATAGGAATCTGCTGGGAAAAGAAAGGAGTGAAATGTGTATGTGGCTAGTAAAAAGAAAGGAATTCCTACTTCACAGTCATTGTTTTTTTTGAGACAATGGCATGTTGAGATCCTCTCCAAGTGGGGAATAAACCTAAACTGGTCAGCTAAGGAGCTGTGGGTTCTAGAGGCACCATGTGTTTTGCAGCAGGTTGAATTTCACACAGGCCTTCATAGTTTCTTTGACAGTACCAAGACAGGTGTAAATACTTGTCACCTAATATCTATCTAGCTGAAGTAAAAACTCCCTGGATCACTTAATGAACACTGAAGTGGAAGTTTTGAAATTAGTAACAAACTATCTCCGAACAGCACTTAATAAAATGTTTCAATTAAACTTATTACACTTTTGGTACAGTTAACTTGCGTATTATGTTTTAGTTTCTCTGACGTTTTTGCTAAGACACCTGTGCATTGTAGTAATGATCAAGGAGGAATAGTATTTTCAGACAGATGGGAAGGTGATCAGTTGAAGATACTTACGCTGGGTTTATGAGGAAATCTTAAATACATTAGTGCAACATCTAGATACCTTGTACTGCTGATTGATTTCTTTTCCCACCTCATGTTCTGCTGGAAAGATTTTCACCGCAGCTCTATAGGCAAGAAATAGAAACACGAAAACCTGAAGTACCATTCTTAGCTCACACAGGAATGTTGACTTAAATGATTTAAAGTTCATGAGCCTTCGTCCAGAGCCTTAAGAGGAAGACTATTTGGAAATTAGAAAGACAGGAAAAGCAGTTTGGGACTGTGTGTTAATTCTTAAATTATGTGCTCAAGAAGTGATTGATATGGGAACAGCAGTAAAGAGTAAGATCTGACTCTTAATATCATCTCTTTAAATTAGTTCTTAATTCTGAACAACATTCGTTGAAAAAAAAAATTCCTTTTATCCTGTCTCAAACACAATATTCTTTTGTTTCTGCTTTTTAAAAAGGAAATATGTGTCTCTGAATGCAGGATACTAAGACTGTTGTTATTCCTTGCTGAGAGAATGAAAAATCAGCTAATATCTTGTTGTTTTATAAATCTTTATTTTAGAGAAAGAGAAATTAAAATGAAGAGTTCAACCTATCTTTATTAAGACATGATAGTTTTGGCTTGATCAAAATGAATTTTTTCATTCTGAAAGTTTTGCACCTAATTTGCATTGATATGAGTCTTCATAGTATCATTTTGATTAATGGCAGTCAAATGAAGTGTCTAAGGTCTAACCAGGGAGGGACATTTAGGGATAGATATTGGGTAGAGCTTCCTGAAGGCATCAAAACATAGCCTGTCTTTGTTTTTGAAAGTTCATGTAGTCTTTGCAACAGTGATAAGTGTTTAACAGTAAAAGGAATAACTTTTATTTTACATTAAAAAACCCTCAAAGTCTGGTTCAAGTAAAGAACTCTTCAGAAAGTGTCGACTTGCATAAGGTTCTGCTTACATACACATGCCAACTGCCATATCAGGTACAGGTATGACAGTTTTATTTGCCCTGGGTGAACATGAGAACATCTTTTCTTCACAGAGAATTTTCTGTGGGCAAATAGGTTTGCCTCTGAAAATACACAGTTTTGCTCTCTTTTGAGCAATTGCTGCTTTTGTGTAGCTTAGCAATAACTTTCACAAGCTTGATGAGGAGTCATTGTCATTAATCCTCTTGCCTTTTTTGCATAAAGTAGCTTAATTTGCTGTATTTTTTGTTGATTTTTTTTTTTTTCACAGAAGAGGGATCCTCATTGATTTGGCTGGTGATTACTGTGGGGATTTTACTCATTGTCATTGTTCTGATTCTGATCATGGTGTACTGGAGGAAAAGGATGTGCAGGAGGTATTGAAGTGGTGAGTAACTGATGTGTGAAAACCAATGGTTTTTACAGAGCTGGTAATGATGTCTGATCTTCTGCAGAGAAGAATGAAACTTCGTTGAGATATTGTTAGGGGTTGTGAGACTGTAATACGGGACAAGCAAACTTTGTAATAATGTGTTGCTAGTTAATATAGGTTGCCTCAGTTGCAGGTAATTTTAAGAGCTGTTTTCCCACTGATGCTGCTGAGGAAAAATACAAGACTAGAAATTGTGAGGGGAGGATCCAAGCAGAGCAAGACATGCTGCTGATGGTTTGCTTTCAGGTAGAAGTCTCAGCATAAGTAACTCACTGGCCTTTCACATTTTTGCGATGGGCCAAAAAAGTGTTGCGTGAGAATTTTTGGCTGAAGAGGCATGTTGAAGAGAAACCCGCTGATGCAGAGTGGAGTGCCTTCAAGGGAAGGCCTTTCTTCTGTTCACCACACAATCTTTATATTTTCAAATGCTTGAAAGAAAGACGTACTTTTATTTGAGAACAACCACTCCAACACAAACAAGTTTGTGCTAAGCAGATCTTGAAGGGGAGACCTTGAAGCAGGGTCACTTGTTAGAGAGGATCAGAAAGTAACCAGGCAAAGAGAGTGCTAAAAAGTGCAGGTGCTACCTTGCAGTTTCAAAAGCCCCTTTGTTGTGTCCCAGGTGAGCAGAGCCACACTGGGGTGCTGTGACTACACTAGTGCCTGAAGAAGGAGCAGGGTCAGATGGTGAAACCTTACTTGACAAGACTAGGCTGAGGATGTTGATGTACCTTCTGGCATGATTTTGGCACTTGGATACGAGCTGTTCCCCAGGCTCTACCTGCATGTGGTTCCAGTGATGGCTTATAACAGGACCATACCCAGCAGGCAGTACGGCAAGCTTCACAGCTGGCTTCCTACACTCTACACCAGCTCCTAGGTATTGGGCTTGCAACTTTCAAGCCATTTCATGCATCCTTGTGCCATGTCATGGGTCATGCAAGACATGATTTCTTTCTGTGGAGACACTGCTGTGATGTGCAACAACAGAGCCTACACATTATTTTGGGAATTTTGAACAGAGCTCCCTCCCTTTTCCTGTAAGGGTAGTGTAAGATGCAGGTATGCATAATGTGTTTAAACTGAAAGTGCTTTGCCCCTTCTTCCTTAGCTAGTGTCTCAGAGCTTGAAGCCTCCCTGTGCCAGCAAGAAAGGAGACTCTTAAGCCTCTCTACCTGGGGAGGATGTCTGGATCCCTGACCCTGTGTATGTGCTGATGTGTGCCAGGGTTGAGGCTTCATGTAAATATCTGTTCAGAGAGGATAAATTAGGTGAGCAGTGTTTAGCAGTGGGTGTAAGTTTGTGGTGTTAGCTTCATCAACAACAGCAGGATTTGAGGGACTTCAATTTTTTGTGTTCCTTTCCATTCATCATGGATTTTTATTAACTGTCATGCTAGGATGTGACTTCTGCAGTGGGCCTGTAAGTCTTTCAGTCTCTGTTCTTTAAATGTAGTCTGTTTTTTATCAGTCCTAGTCTATATCTTTTCAGTTGCTTTTCAGTCTTGAGTTTTGAAAATGTAATGCACTGTCCTGGATCCTTTTTGTATAAAGGTAGCATTACATTATCCACAATAATTTTGACCAGCCGATCCTATTCCTTCATATAGTGACCAGCTCAGGGAAATGTGTAGTTCACCTTCCTGATGTAGATCTGTTTCCCTGAAGGCTTCGTTTTTATTTTGTTGACAAATTTCAATACTGGTGCAGTTTGATCACTCTGTCGCCACCTGATTTTAAAAAAAAAAAAATAAAATTCCCTGGTTGATCTTTTCTGACAGTTGCTAAAAGTTACTACAATTTATTTTGCATATGATTCCACTGTAACTTTCCTGACCAAATCACTAAAATGCCAAGAATACCTGTGGAGTTACAGTAATTTTTAATGTTATGTTTAGAGTTCAGTACCAATCCACAAATACTCAATTGTAATGAGGAAATTCCCTACACCTTAGCTTCTGTCTGAGCGGCACACTGTGGACCTTAGTCTGTTTTTGCAGTGACTTGTTTTTGTCCCGATCACCTGTGAAAATCTGTTTATGCTATTTAAGGCAGTGGCTGCAAAAGAGAATAACATCTTGCAGAAAGCTCTTTTCTAGTTTTACCCTCTTATTATCCTCATGTTGTGTTGGAACAAGGAGCAACGCCTACGTACGTATTTCTGGATGTGCTTTTTGTAACAGCGCAACAGACTATTAATAACACTGGCTAGAGGATGCCAGAAGACTTCTGTGAGGCCAGTATCTGAGGCTTCAATACTTCTTTTCATTCTGCACTAGACAACAAGCAAAGCCTTTCCAGTCTTGTCTAGATGCCTGTTTTTTGAAGTAAAAACAGCTTTTTATGTGGGTGGTTGAGGACCCTTCTCCATCAAAGCTTCTTCTCTTCTGCTTCTGCTGATGAGAGTATGGTTGGTTTTGCTTTTACATTTGCTGTTTCCCTCCTCTCCATGGTAGACCTTTGGGAATCAGATGAAGAGCGGGGGCTCCAAGTTGTCCCATCTCTCAGGCACTTGCCTTGTACTAGTTACAGAGCATACACACATTTTGTTTCTCCATGAAAGCATCTCAAGTGACGCGTCTTCACAACATTCGGCAAAAAGTCACTTGTTTGGAAACAAACTGAGCAGCCTCTGTGGCAAGAGCTGTTGCAAAAACTTTGGAAAGCTTGCTTCTTCATCCTCTGCCAGAGAGGCAAATTGTGTCCATCACTCAATTTAAGTGCATCAAGCAGGTTACAGCAAGTTGACAGACATAACTTCACCTGTGCTGGAGGTTTTGAAGTAGTGCTCTTCTGGTAAAAAGTTGCACCATTTCCTACCTGACTCAACTAATACAGCTTAACTGTAGACCATACCAGCATAAAGCAGTTCTGTTGACAAACCCAAGTGCCTGCATTGAAGCAAAGTAAAGGCTCTTAGTCTGAATAAATTCCTATGACTTACCTAATGCATACATGTCTCAACCTGAATGCTTTTCAGAGTATCAACTGTTTATTTCAAAGCTGGCATATTGCTCACATTTCAGCCCCTCTGGTTAAAAAATTTTGTGGTCAGTTCTCAGGACATAGCAGTCAACAGTTGAGTAAAATTCAAGGCAAGCTTTTTTCTGGAGGCTTGTGGTTGTCTGTGGGGAAGGGATATTTCACAAAAGGTTAAAAAGGCCAGTATGATTTTATTTTTTTAATTTTTTTAATTAACCTTGGTATATCAATGTCACTTGGGTGTCTTTTGCTATGTGGAAAGCTTTAGAAATGGTCAGACAGTATATTTGTGTTTTAAAAACTATAAAAACGGGACAAAAAATTCTTGAACCATGTTGTTTATCAATAGATATAATGCAGCCTAAGAAAGTGGGGCAGATAAGGTGAATCAGGAAAAAGGAAACTTGAAGACTCATAGAAGAAGAGACTAGTTCAGAAAAAAAAAATCTGAAGAAAGTACCATCGTACCAATATGTTTTTTCCTATTTGGAAATTAAAACATTCAAGTTTTCTTTCAAAGAGAAATTTTACAGTACATTAAAATTTTTGTTTCAAGATGTTTTCTTCTGAATAGAGCCAACTATTTCAAAGAGATGCTCAATATCAGTGTTCTTTGCGAGTTACGCAAGTGTTATAAAACAGAGTGAAAACATATCTTTGTTACCAGTTAGAGATCACTTAATACTCTGAATGGGATTTGAAGATGTGCTGATTATTATTTTTGCAGTTTCTAAGTTGCTCCAAATAATATAAATTCAGGTCTATTAAGCTGCAAATAGCAACCTGGCTGATCAGCTGCAATATGTAGATATTGGAAACCTCAATTTTATTGGCCAAAAGCATCCTGAAAGATTGAGAAATAGAGGAGTCTCATACAAGAGATTCCAATTATTTGGGAAACTTTACAATAGTAAGTACTTGTACATGCTTTCCATTGCTTTGTTTATACTAAAGATAAGAATTATTTCTGGAAGAGCCATTATAGCAGTACCGTCTAGTGTTTATTCAATTTAGGGAACCCTGTGTTTCTAAGTTTCGGCTTAAAAATTATGGCAGTTCTTATTTATCTCTATGACTTGGCTTGTTTCTTCAGTGTGTTTGCTTTGATGTGCACCTGGTTTTTTCCTTAATAGTGAAAGACTACGTAGTTGAGAAAAACATAGTAGCAGCTCAATTTTAAGAGACTTTTCAGAGTAATTTTTACTAAAGTAACAGCTAAATACCAGCCTTTCAGATTATGAAAACGGGACTTAACTTCCTCTTTCATAAGGCAGATGGGTATGACGCACCCTGTTCACAGAGGAACGCCTCTTGGGCCAACTTGTCCCAGACGGGGAGGCTCATTTTAGAATTGCCATGGTTTTCTCTCAAGTGTATGAGAACACATTTGTCCTATTTTGAAGTCCCTAAAATAACAAAAATATGCAGTGCCATAAATGAAAGTTGTTTTGCTTACAACAGCCTCATTTCTTTACCTCTCTTAACACTACAGCAGAAAACTAAAATCAAACAAACCAAACCCCCTCAAAAAATGGTAGCGTAAAAATATTGTAGCCAAACAGACCTGAACAGACCTAACAAGGGGAGAAAGAATAAAGAAAACCCCAAAAAAACCCTTTCATGCAGAAATGTCAGCAGAGGGGTAATTCTGCTGTCAGACTGCCCATCAAGTTTCCTGCTAACATAAATATTTTTCAACCCCAATGAAGATATTTTCTGGCTTTAATCACACACTGCTTGCAGGAGACTCCTGTTCGCTAGTAAGTCACTTAATCTTCTGTTCAAAGAAACGTGCCTGGCAGTACCCTCCAATCTGCATCATACAGAAAGAGAGCATGGGCACTCTCTCTAGGCTTTCCACAATTTCGTGCTACCTGTTTTCATTGTGAAGGGCAGTGACAGCGGGTGCTTTGTTCATTTTCCCATCCTGTTTTCCCCCAGCATGTTTTGCTTTCTGTATCAG